CCTTGATCAGGATCTTCTTCTTGAGCTGGGTGGGCGAGGGCAGCTCGTCGGCGTTGATGTCCACGGGCTTGGTGAGGAGCATGTCCCCGAAGACCTTCTTGAAGTGGGAGGCCATGTTCCTCTGCTGGACGATGCTGCAGTGGTCCTCGATGGACAGGATGATGGGGAACCTGGAGGACACCACGGGGCGGGAAGGGCGAGCTTGGCTGCAGGTGAGGGTGGCACCGCCGGGATTTTGGGGGGGGGGGTGGTTGGGGGAGTTGGGGCTTACTCGGAGGTGACAAAGGCGTGTTCCTTGATGGTGTGAAGAACGTCCAGGAATTTGATCTTGGAGGTGAGCGTGTGGCCGTGGTAGATGATGGGGAGGTCGTCGGGGCCATCCCAGCAGTCCACTGAGAGGGGAGACAGCCTGGTTACCCCCCCCCAGGGACTGGGGATCACGGCTTTGATCCCACAAAGGGAGACCCCTCCCCCCCTGCTCCGGGGCCATGGGATGGGAGCAGGGCGTGGTCAGGGATGTGACAGGAGATGGTGGGGGGGTGCCAGCATCCCTGGGAAGTGCTGTGGGTGGAATTCCAGCATCCCTGTGATGTGCTGCTGGTGTTCCAGTATCCCTGGGAAGTGCTGGGGTGGAATTCCAGCATCCCTGTGAGGTGCTGGGGTGGAATTCCAGCATTCCTAGGAAATGCTGGGAGGGTTCTAACACCCCTGTGAGGGGTTGGTGGGGTTCCAGCATTCCCAGGAAGTGCTGGGGTGGAATTGCAGCAACCCTATGAGATGCTGGGGTGGAATTCCAGCATCCCTGGGAAGTGATGGGATCGAATTCCAGCATCCCTGGGAAGTGCTTGGAGGGGAATTCCAGCATCCCTGTGATGTGCTGCTGGGGTTTCAGCATCCCTGGGAAGTGCTGGGGTGGAATTCCAGCATCCCTGGGAAGTGCTGGGATGGAATTCCAGCATCCCTGGGAAGTGATGGGATCGAATTCCAGCATCCATGGGAAGTGCTTGGGAGGAATTCCAGCATCCCTGTGAGGTGCTGGGGGGGTTCCAACATCCCTGGGAAGTGCTGGGATGGAATTCCAGCATCCCTGTGAGGTGCTGGGGGTGGAATTCCAGCATTCCTAGGAAATGCTGGGAGGGTTCTAACATCCCTGTGAGGGGCTGGGGGGAATTCCAGCATCCCTGGGAAGTGCTTGGGGGTGAATTCCAGCATCCCTGTGAGGGGTTGGAGGGGTTCCAGTATTCCTGTGAGAGGTTGGGGGGGTAATTCCAGCATCCCTGGGAAGTGCTAGGGTAGAATTCTGGGATCCCTGTGATGTGCTGCTTGGGTTCCAGTACCTTTGGGAAGTGCTGTGGGTGGAATTCAAGCATCCCTGGGAAGTGATGGGATGGAATTCCAGCATCCCTGGGAGGTGCTTGGGGGGGGATTCCAGCATCCCTGGGAAGTGCTGTGGGGGTTCCAGCATCCTGGGGAAGTGCTGGGGTGGAATTCCAGCATCCCTGTGAGGTGCTGGGGGAGAAATTCCAGCATCCCTGGGAGGTTTTGGGGGGGTGTTCCAGCATCCCTATGAGATGATGGGGTGGAATTCCAGCATCCCTGTGAGGTGCTTGGGGGGGAATTCCAGCATTCCTAGGAAATGCTGGGAGGGTTCTAACATCCCTGTGAGGGGCTGGTGGGGTTCCAGCATCCCTGTGAGGGACTGGGTGGGTAATTCCAGCATCCATGGGAAGTGCTTGGGGTGGAATTCCAGCATCCCTGTGAGGTGCTGGGGGGGTTCCAACATCGCTGTGAGATGCTGGGGTGGAATTCCAGCATTCCTAGGAAATGCTGGGAGGGTTCAAACATCCCTGTGAAGTGCTGGTGGGGTTCCAGCATTCCCAGGCAGTGCTGGGGCGGGATTGCAGCAGCCCTGGGAGGAGCTGGGATGGGGGGACTCACACTCGATGCAGCGGCAGCCCATCCGCAGGCACCGCGCGTACGCTTCCAGGGACGACTCGCTGGAAAACTGGTCCCCTGTCAGGTACCTGGGAAAGCCAGGGAGCAGTTGGGATGGTGGGGACGCTCCCGGGTGTCCCCTGAGGAAATCCCAGCCCCGGCCTCACGTGTTGTGGGAGGAGGAGATCCAGTACTGGGACAGGGGGTGGTTCATCTCCTCGGGCACCACGCGCTCGTACTTGGCGTCCATCACCATGTTCTCCTTGGAGAAGAGGTACGTGAGGAACTGGGAAAAGCAGGGAGGAGAGGGGGGAAAGCAGAGAGGTCAGAGCCTGACAGGGCCACGGGGACGCCCCCCTGGGTGGGTTCTGGGTGGGGGGGGGGGGGGGGTCACCCACCCACCTCATCCAGCTGGAAGGAGGGATCGGCGGCGTCGCCGGAGCTCTCCCTGAGGTAGGTGCACATGTATTCCCGCACCATGCCCACGTCGCTGGCCCAGGATTCCTGGGAGACAAAGGTGCAGGTGGTTACGGGGCTGGAGCGTCCCATGGGACGCCCCAAGGGAGGCCACGGGGGTCTCAGAGAAATCCCACCTTCTGGTCGTGCAGCAGGAACTTCTGGAAGTCGTAGAGGGAGACCTGGCAGAGCTCGGGGCGATCCACGTTCCTGGGGCACGGATCAGCCACCAGTGAGGAGCGGGAGGAGGAGTTGGGATAGATCCCGTGGGAGAGGCAAGGCTGCCAGGGCCCACCTGCAGCTCAGCTTCCCTATTCCTGCCCCATTCCCACCGGGAGCGTGCAGCGTTGTCCGAGGATATGGGGAGGGCAGGGGGGAATGTCCCCACATCCCTGGCAGCCACATCCACTTCCATGTCTGTTCATCCCTGTTCCTATCCCTGCTCCCATCTTCACTCCCACAGTGTCTGCTCAGCCCCACTCCCACCTTGACTCCTCTGTCCGTTCATCCCTCCTCCCATCCCTGTTCTCAGCCCCACTTCCATCCCTGCTCCCACACCCCTCGCATTCCTGGTCCCATCTCCACTTCCACCTCTGCTCATCCCTTCTCCCATCCCTGCTCCCATCCCTATTCCCGCTCATCTGCTCTATCCCTGCTTCCATCCTCACTCCTGTCCCTGCTCCCACACCCCTCACATTCCTGGTCCCATCTCCACTTCCACCTGCTCATCCCTTCTCCCATCCTTGCTCCCATTCCCACTCCCATCCCCATTCCTGCTCATCTGCTCTATCCCTCTTCCCATCCTCCCTCCCATCTTCACTCCCATCCCTGCTCCCCTTCCCTCTCCCATCTGTGTTCCCATCCCTGATCCTCCCCGGTCCTATCCCTGTTCCCATCCTCCTTCCAGCCCCGCTCCTTTCCCCCTCTCCAATCCCTCTCCCACCCCCTGCCCTGCCCAATCCCTGCGTTTCCCGCTCTGTGGATCCCACCCTTGGAATCTTGGCCATGGCATTCCCAGGATCTCACCTCAGAGGGAAGGAGAGCTCCAGCTGCTCGATGACCTGCCAGGAGTGGGAGGGGACGAGGCTCAGCTGGGAGGGGACACATCACATGGGGGGGGTGGGGGGGACACTTGGGAAAGCAAATCCATGGATCTTACCGACTTCTGGGCGTCAAACATCAGGTTTTTGTAGAACTGGATGAAGTGGGAGAAAGTCATTTCATTCCTGGCTTCCACTTCCTGCGGGAGACGGGGCCGGAGGTGAGAGCGGGGCCACCCCGCCGGACACAGGGACACCTGGGTGGCTCCAGCCCCTCTGGAAGGGCTGGAAAATCATCTCCCTCCCGGGTGAGGTGTCCAGGGGGGTCCTTACCACGAGTTTATCCCGCAGGAATCTCATGTTGGGAACTCGGTAGTTCACCTGGGGCAGCATCGCCTTCAGGTCCTTCACGGTGATGCTGCCGGGGCGGGACACGGAGTCAGGAGGGAGAACCCCCCCGGATCTCAAGGTTCCCACCCCAAATCCTGGTGCCTGGCGTGGGGATCCCACCCTCCTGGCCTGTGGACCCCCCCTCCAGGCACAGGACCCGGAGAAATTGTGGATGTTCCATCCTGGGAAGTGTCCAAGGTCAGGTTGGATGGGGCTTGGAGCAACCTGAGCTAGTGGGAGGTGTCCCTGCCCACAGTAGGGGGTTGGAATTCCATGATCTTTAGGTCTCTTTCCACCCAAACCATTCCCTGATTCCATGATTCCATGATTAATTGTGTGGTGTTTGGCACAAGTGTGAGCAGAGGGGAAAGGAGAAGAAGCAAATCCCAAGAACCAACTGGGCTCTCTTGGCCATTATCCCACCTGGAGATGATGCCCATTCTCATCTCCATCACAATTTAAGTGAAAATTCCCTGCCTTTGGAAGTTGTTTCTGGGCTGCATTAATGGTCCAGCCCCTCCAGACACTGGTGGAAATGATGCAGAAATCGGGATCCCTGTGGGCCTCACTCCCAAAACCTCTGCTTTTCCATCATCTCTAAGCATCCCAAATAACCCGCTGCTCCCTCGTCCCACAAAGCCATCAGAATTTGGGATGCAACTGGGGGGGGGGGAATATGATCCTGGCCTGCCAAACCCACCACCCACTCCCCACCTCTGGGGCCGTGCCAGTGCTCACCTGCCCTCCCGTGCCCGGTCCATCCCATCAAACTGCTTCCGCAGCCACCTGGGAAGGAAGGGACGGACACACACACAGCGCTCAGCACCACAGAGGAGCAAATCCAGGGGGGAATGTCGTCCCTCAACCCAGGGATGTGCCAGGGTTTCCCCACCTCTCGATCTGCAGCGGGGTCTGGGCCCTCTGGGTATCAGCCACCAGCCAGTTGAGCCCCGTGATCCAGAGGTTGATGTCCTCCTCGCAGAAAGCTGGAGAATGGGAAGGAGGGATAGGAAGTTGTGGGATGCCGGGAAAAGGAGGTGGGACACGAGGAAAACGGGGGTGGGGGGAATCCCAACTCACCGGCCACGCTGAGCGTCCGCAGCCTGAAGTCCATCCCGTAGAGGATGATGAAGCACATGGTGAAGTCCAACTTGCGAGCGTCCTCGGGGTAGCGCTCGAAATCCCGGGAGTTCTTGCCCAGGCGGATCTCCTTGATCTCCCGGATGTCGACTGCGGGGAGAGAGAGAGAGAGAGAGGAAGGTGGAAGTGGGGAATCCCCACTTCCCAGGGGTGCTGGAATTCCATCCCAGTCTGCCCTGATGCCGTGGGTTCACGTGAGGGACTCGTGGTGGCTGCAGGAGGAGGGACTGCCAGGAGACCTGGTGTCCTCTGGGGAGACCTGTCCCTGGGATGGGACATTCCTGGGAATGAGGGTGCTGCGGCCACGTGGAGACACGTCCCCGGTGCCCTGATGGCACCATGGGCATGGCATGTCCTTCAGGGAACTGGAATTCCCTGGACTGGGGTGCCCCCGTTGGGGTGGGTTGGCATCACGTCCTCCATGGATTCGTGTCCTGGGATGGGATGTCCCCATTGGGCATCAGGAGTGCCACGGCCGTGTGTCCTCCAGGGAATCGTGTCCCCAGGACAGGTTGTCACCTCCACGTGCCTGATGACTCCCCCCCACTCCCCGTGTCCTCCAGGGACTCCCACCCCCAGGATGTGGCTCCCGACAGCACTTCCCACACTTTTCCCAGCTCTGCGGCCGCCTGGATGTCCTCCAGGCCCATCCTGCCCCATCCCAACTGGCACAGGGCAGACCCCGGGATGGGCTGAGCTCATCTCGGAATTGGAAACTCTTCCCAAAAGTGGCAGTTTGAGCTGGGACCGCAGGGCGTTGCTTTCCTGCTGCTCTGCTCCCTCATTATCCCGCTAAATAAAGCTCCGGCGGCGTTGGAAGGGCCGGGTTTCCGGAGCCTGCTCTTCCTCACCGCTCCTCCTTCCAGTTTTCCCAGTGGATTCATCCCACCGGGAGCAGAATAAGAATAACACATTCTTAGGAATAACACCCAAAGCCGTTCCCCATCCCACAACCATCACCCCTCCCCCTGGGAAGGTTTGGACTCTGGGAATGAGCCAGGGACACCGGAAAGGCCTTTGTGTGCTGGAGCCCCAGCCTGGCCATTGTCCTGCCGAGGAAATGGGTCATTTCCCGCACGATTTCCAGCCCCGGCCGCGCTTCCGACGACCACGATGTGGGATGTGGGATGTGGTGGTGGTGGTGGGGAAGGGCCCAGCAAACCCCGGAGCCCCATCCAGAGTGGGAAAAGCAAAGCTGAAAGCAGGGAGGGGGGAAAAAAGGGATGGGGGAGGAATCGGGGGCTGATTGAGCAAGAAAAGAGGGGCCGGGGAGTTTTCCTTGGCGGAAAAAGCTCCGGCAAACAGTGGAGGCTTTATCCAGGCTTTTTGTGTCGTTTCTGCTGGATGAGAGCGAGCCAAATTTCGTGGAGCGGGGTGGGATTTTAGCACAGGGGGGCTCTGCAGCCCGGCACGGGCTCTGTTTTGGGCCAAGATGCCAAGAAATCCAATCCCGTGGTCTCCATGGGGCTCCCAGGCCTTGGAGAAAAATCTTCTTGGTACAAACAGGAGGATTTTTTTTTGGGGGGGGAATGGATTTATGGGTTAAAAAGCAGCTGCTCAACCCCAAACCTGCCCATCCACAGGGAGGGGGAAGAACCCCACAGTGTTCTGCCAGCAGGTCCCAAAGGGGTATTCCTGGGATTCAACATCTCCAGGATCAGGCCTTGGATAAGCCCCCTGGGTGCTGCCAATATTCCCGGGATGGTTTGGGTTGGAAGGGAGCGGAAAGATCCTGGAATTCCAAGGCCCTGCCGTAGGCAGGGACACCTCCCACTGTCCCACATTGCTCCAGATTGGCCTGGAACACTTCCAGGGATGGGCCAGCCACAGCTTCTCTGGGAATTCCATTCCAGCACCTCCCCACCCTCCCAGCCAAGAATTCCTTCCCAATATCTCACTAACTCTGGGAAGCCATTCCCTGTGTCCTGTCCCTCCAGCCCTTGTCCCCAGTTCCCTCTCCAGTTCTCCTGGAACCCCTTTAGGCCCTGGAAGGGACTCCAAGGTCTCCCTGGATCCTTCCCTTCTCCAGGTGAACATTCCCAGCTCTCCCAGGTGGGATCTCACCTGAGTGGAGCAGAGGGGCTGAATCCCCCCCCCTTCCCCCACTGTGGGACGAGCCCAAAACACAGGGAATTTCTGCTTTTCCACCCCCCTCAAATCCCTCTCCCCGTGGCAAAGAGCCCGTTGTTCCCACAAAAAACCAGGGGAAGAGGGAGCGGCTGCACAAAACAAGGGAGCCGGAGCCGGGAGCTTCCTGGAAACCACATCTGCGGCGGATTTGCAGGGATCACGTCGGAAACTGTGTCTCCAAACTCCTCCCAGCATTGTCTCCGGGATCCCGGGCCATTAAAACACTCTGGAAGGATTAAAAACCCTCTGGAAGTCGCTTCCAGCTGCGAAAATCCCTCTTTTTTTTTCTTTTCTAATGCAAAGCGGGCGGCTCCCGCTGCAAAGAGGATTTGGAATGGTGGGAAGAGCAGGTCCTGCCCAGAGGGTTTTAAGGGATGCTGAGTGAAGGCCTGGGAATTTTTTTTTTTTTTTTTCCAGGCCTTAGGAGGGAAAAGGGGATGGAGAGGATGGAATGTTGTGCTGGGAAATCCCAGCCTCAGTCATCCCTTCATCCAGGATACCTGGAAGCTCAGAATTCTCTCCATGGGGGAAATGGAAGACAATGTCCCCCTGGGAATTCCTGTGGTGGGATTTAAAACCTGAAATAAAATATTTCCCCCTGGTTCAGGAGTGAGTAATCCCACTCGGATTTTCTCCTCTCCTCAAAAAAAACCCCTCCATTTCTAATTATTTGGCATGACCGAGGCTGGAAGTGTCACCTCTCCAAAATCCTCTTGGATTTTCCAG